CCCACCACCGACCCCACCCCCCCCCCCCCCGCACACACACACACACACAGCAGAACACCCCTTATATCAGAGCCCCCCTTTCATATCAGAATTCCTCCTTTTACATCAGAGTTCCCCATTCACATCAGAGTCCTGCCATCACAAAATGTTTAGGCATTCTGAGGAAACCAGAAGGCACCCTGGTTGAGAAAGGCTGGTATAGAGCACCTTCTTTCACAGTTAAAGTCACTTTAATACCCATATTTTATACATAAAGTAGTCCATTGTCTTGTATCCACCCTTTTATTAGCAGTATCATGTGGTATTTACTGACATTCTGAGAAGTATAGGGGATATCCAATCTTTAGGTTTTGAGAAATCACGGTATTATTTATAGAGGCCAGTTTTACAGTTGTCCTTTGTACAGCATACAATAAAGGAAGCTGGGAGATCCCCTGGGGCATTTGTAAAATTTTACTAAAAAAGAAAGCCAAGCACTTATTATAGAATTATGTAGCCTTCACATAAATGCTTTAGCTATGAAAGCATGGATTAATCAGTTTTAAAAAAACAATGTGCTAATATACCGTAGAGAAAAATCCCCACAGGACACATGTCATATGCATGGTAGCATGGTACTGAAATAAAAAAAGGCAAGCCTTTAAAGCTGAACTCAATGTGGACAGCTAAATACACTATGGTGAATACATAACCAGAGGGTTTATATCCCTGTATACTACACTGCAGCTAAGCAATACACCTGGTCCAGGGCCCACCCTGTGATTGGGCAGTGAAGGAGCAGAATACTGGGGCTCTATTTACCTGTATGACTGTTCATATGTACATTGTGTCAGGGCTGTCTTTAATATTGATTGGACCCTGGGCAAACAATTTCATGGAGAGACAGACGGGAGAGGAGGAGGGGAGACAGACGGGAGAGAAAGAGGAGAGACAGACGGGAGAGAAAGAGGAGAGACAGACGGGAGAGAAAGAGGAGAGACAGACGGGAGAGAAAGAGGAGAGACAGATGGGAGAGAAAGAGGAGAGACACACGGGAGAGAAAGAGGAGAGGCAGCCAGGAGAAAGAACAATGAGAGACAGCCAGGAGAGAGAGCCAGGAGAGAGACAGGATATTCAATATCCTGGTGGGAAGCTGTGCGGAGTCTCAGGAGGACTATATGGGGTCTCAGACGGGCTGTGCAGGTATCGGTATCGGTGCAGTAGCATCCCTAGTGAATTATAAATGTGCAATGCATTTTATAGACCAACTACACATGCAATCTAATAATAATCTACATGTGAAATAAATATATAAGTATGCAGAATCACCCTATGGTGAATAAATACATTATATAGTGGAAAAATACCTAAT